GAACCCAGCTTCCATTTGTGGATTTATATTCTGGAGAAACTTTCACATGTTCCCCAGGAACCTTGTTCATTATGACCAAAAACTAAAAATAACCCAAAGTCTCCCAGCAGTAAAATGAATAAATAAAATATGATGTTTCATACAATGCAATATTATAAAGCACTGAGAACAAACCATTGCTACATGAAACAGGATAAATTTTACAAACATAATATTAAGCAAAAAAAAAAAAGACACAGAAGAGCGTGTTTCCTGTTATATAAGGTTAAAAAATAGGCAAAACTCATTTGTGGTGGTAAAAATCTGAATAATCATTACTTGTAATGGAGGTTGGTGACTGGAAGAGGATATGAGGAGAGGTGTATCCATTTTGTGTTACACATAATACAAACCTTACTTTAAAATACATAGTATCTGTTCTGGCTGGTGTGGCTCAGTGGATTGAGTGCTGGCTTGCAAACCAAAGGGTCGCAGGTTCAATTCCCAGTCAGGGCATATGCCTGGGCTGTGAGCCAGGTCCCCAGTAGGTGGTGTGTGAGAGACAACCACACACTGATGTTTCTCTCCCTCCCTCTAAAAATAAATTAATTAATTTAGAAAAATAAAATATATAGTGTCTTTAACAGATACAAGGAACAGACTGATAGATGCCAGAGGGGAGGGAGTTTGATGGGATTAAGAAGTATTAATTGGTAGTCATGCAATAAAAAGAACAGCCCAGGGAATGTAGTCAATAATACTGTAATAACTGTGTATGGTGCCAGGTGGATAATATCAGGGAATCACTTTGTAAAGAATATGATTATCTAACCACTATGCTGCACACTTGAAACTAATACAAAATAATGTTGAATACAAACTGGAATTGAAAATTTCAAAACAACTATAAAAATACATAGGGTCTGAAATGATGCTCAACATTACTAATGGTCAGGGAAATGCAAATTAAAACCACAATGACATTATCAGCTTGCACCTGTCAGAAAGGTTGGCATCAGTAAATCTACAAACAACAAGTGCTGGCAAGGATGTGAAGAAAAGAGAACCCTGGTGCCCTGTTGGTGGGATTGTAAGTTTGTGCAGTCATTGTTGAAAAGAGTATGGAGGTTCCTCAAAAATTAAAAATAGAACTACCTTATGATCAGCAATTCCACCTCTGGGTATGGTAATTATATAAAGAAATTGGAAACAGTAATTCAAAAAGAGATATGCACCCTATGTTCCCTGAAGCATTATTTACAATAGCCAAGGTATGGAAGCAACCTAAGTGTCCATCTACAGACAAGCGGTAAAGATGTGGTACATATATGCAATGGAGTATTACTCAGCCATAAAAAAGAATAAAATCTTACCATTTGTGACAACATGGACGGACCCAGAGGATATTATGCTAAGTGAAATAAGTCACTTATATGTGGAATCTAAAAATATATAAACAAAAAAATAATGAACAAAATACATAAACAAATAAAACAGATACAAACTTACAGAGAACAAATTGGTGGTTGCCAAAAGAGAGGGGACTTGGGGAAATGGGTGAGTAAGGTGGAAGAGATTAAGAAATACAAGTTATATCAGTTATGAAAACAGTCACAGGGATGTAAAGTACACCACAGTCAGTAATATTGTAATAATTATGTATGATGTCTGATGGGTTCTAGATGTATTGGGTAACCACTTCATAAGGTATCTAAATGTCTAATCACTATGTTATATACCTAAAGCTAATATAATATTCTATGTAAACTGTGACCAAAAAATACATTTAATTAACAAATAATATAGAGTATGCTCTATCTGTTTATATAAATTCAAAAACAGGCAAAATGAAATAAAATATACTTAATGATACCCATATAGATAGTTTACTATTTTTAAAAATCATGGAAAAATAATGATTGAGAGGAGGGAAAGGAGTGTGATCAAAAGGACAGACATACAAAGAGCTTCTAGGATACTGGCAATGTTCAATGTCTTAGTTTCGGTGATGGTTATGAGTGCCCACATTATTATTGTTATTGCTGTTACTATTTTAAAATATACTATGTTCTATATACTCTTCTATCTGTATGCTATATTCCAAAATAGAAGAATTTACAATAAACTCAGATAAAAAGTATACATCCTTAAAAGGAACAGTAGCAGAATGTGGCACTGAGATAATAATTTTGGAGGTGGACGAGGCCTTTGTAACCATCCTGTCCAATCATCTCATTAAAGAAAACAGGCCAGAGAAGTTAAGTGACTTACTCAAAGTCAGTCTAATATAGAGCCCAGGCAAGCCTCCTGGCTTCCTGTCAAGTGCTCCTCCTACAGACCTACCCTGATTAATTTAGTCAGTCCCAGTTTCCTAATATGTCCCAGTGTCATATCTCTCATCTGTACATAGCATAAGACTCACCTACATTACAGCTTTTTCCTCCACAATTTAAAAAATTTGTTGTAGGAATAGGAGATTGGGAGAGATAACCTCTCCTCCACAGATAGTACAAACCCTTAGAAAACTAGTCAAGATATCTAGTAGTAGAGAAACAACCTGGGTCTATTTCTCCAACGATAGTTATTTTGACTTGTTAATGTAGCTCTCCCACTTCCCCCACAGTATGGCTGCTACAACATGCAGACTGACTTTTGGGCCTCTGAGACACAAAGGAAAAGGGAAGGTCTGAGAGCTGCGGAAAAGAAAACGGTTGCCCTTTATTTAGGTCCGAGCATAGGATCTCTTTAGGGAAGAGTGAGCTCTTCTGCCACCGTGTGACATAGAATGAGAACAGCAAGCCCTCAGATCATTTCCTACCTCTGCTCCAAGGTGGCAGCATTGTAACTAGGAACTAATCCACAGAAAATGTGAAATAAGGTGACACAGTGGAAGTGTCTGATACTACAAGGGAGCGGAGAATCATGTAACCTTGTTACTGAAATAGTTACCCAAAACCATGTACCCTACCCACCTGCCCTAGGAGAATCAGGCAACTGTAGCAGGGAAAAAAGGAATGAAACTGCTGCTCTGGACCGATAAAATACTTGAGGCACTTATGTTCCTTATCAGTTGGCCTCACTTCTCTACTCTCAAGTAACATGCCTTGAAAAGATTATGTACGTGTCTTTACCTCCAACTCTCTCTGAGTTTCCACCACTCTGCTGAAATTGCTCTTCCAGGACTGTTAAATGCAATGGACACTGTTCTCATTATACACACCTCTCAGCATCTGACCAACTGATCATTCCTTCCATCCTTGAAATATTCTCCTTTCTTGGCTTCTATGACATCCACTCTCTTGGCTTTCTTAGCTTATACTCCTCAAGAGATGTCTTCACTGACCACCTGACTTAAAGTGACAAAGTAATCCTCTTACCCCATCTGCCAGCAATCCTTTACCCCATCATTCTGTTTGTTGCTGCACAACAACTACCACAGTCTCTAACTGTCTTGTATATGTGTTTGTATATTATTTGTTATTAGCCCTTTGCACTCTTTTTTTTGTCACCAGGTTTCTTGTCTGCTTCCCATCTTTTCATGTGAACATAGACTTGGTCTTGTTCACTGCCGGAATAGTGCCTGGCACACAGTAGGCACACAGTAAATACTTGCTAAAGGAAAGGCACTGTGGCTGCATGTTCAGCACTTCTCATCCTTCCACATTTCAGACAACGCCATGACCTTCCATGACATCTCTTTCCTTTTTGTTTTCCCACTAAGATTTCCCTTGATGCTCAACTTAGCCAGATTTCAATCAGAATTAAAATGTCACACAACAGGGTAACATTTAAATCACAATGTGATTCAGATCTCATGAACTCCCTCACGAAATGTACTTTGAATCAGCCTCCTTATTCACCATTATCAATCAGAGGGGCAGCCTCTAAAAACTTCTTCCTCAAGACCAAACCTATATGCTCCGGTGGGATACATTCGCACTGTGCTGAAAGGCTGCAGAGGCTCTGGACTTAGGCAGAGGATCTTAGCAGATCTTCATTTCTGCTTTATGATCCAGTTAGCCATGCTATCACAAAGTCTACAGCGTACTACTAAAATATAAGATTTTTTAAAAGATTTTATTTATTTATTTCTAGAGAGAGGGGAAGGGAGGGAGAAAGGGAGAAAAACATCAATGTGTGGTTGCCTCTCACATGGCCCCCACTGGGGACCTGGTCCACAACCCAGGCATGTGCCCTGACTGGGAATCAACCCGGCAACCCCTTGGTTCGCAGCCTGTGCACAATCCGCTGAGCCACACCAGCCAGGGCTAAAATATATGACTTTTGAAAAATCTTCAACAACAGTTATCTGTCTAGGAGAACCTTCCCTAAGTGGGTACTTAGCTCTTCTTCATGACCTCTGAGCCCAGTCATCATGGGAAGGTGATCTACCTATGCTCGCTTCACTATTCAGGTGTGTAAAACTGTACAAACCAGATAGGTATGTCTGTGCTGATTATGTCTATGTGTGTAACTGTAAACGAATTCTAGAGATCATCTGGTTGAAATTTTAGAGAAAAAAAATGAGATACAGAGAAATCAAGCAATTTTCTCAAGATGACATAGTAGTAACAGCCTGTATTAAAACCCAGTCCCATTAATTCCTAGTGCAGTGCTTTCTCCAGTGTAACTCACGGACTCATTCAGTCCCACTTTCCTGCTCTGCTCTTGAAACCACTTTCCTGCTCTGCTCTTGAAACCACTTTCCTTAATAGAAATCTCTTTATGTTAGTGTCTAAATCTATGTGCCTGTGTCAGTGAGCACGCTTGTGAATGTCTACGTGCCTATCTGCAAGTATTTACAAAGCATATCACTGGGCGTTTATGCCCTTTCTCCTAGGGAAAGTTCTAGGTAATTACAGCTTCTTGTGTTGGCACCAGCAATGGTCAGGGAAGACCTTCTGGGTCAATCGTTAACAAGCAAACTTGTTCCTCTATCCAGTCAGCTCTATTCCTGGGTCTTCAGGAAATGAGGCAAAATAATTAGGGTGGAACCAGACTCTCCTAGGGTCAAACTTGGTTCCAGGGCAGAAGAAACACCTAGAGACAAAGCTGTAAGGGACTGTCTCTTCAAGGGGCACACATGCTCAAGCTGACATGGATACCATCTTGGTTTTCAGCCTGATTATTACATCCTATGATGCCAACAAGAAAGGTAAGTGCTTCCCTAGCTTAATATCCTGGAAAATCCAAAGAGAGGCCTAGAAAATGTTTGGAGTCTATTCCAGCAGATAGAGGTATAGTCAATGCTTAGTAGACAATGCTTTCCAGTCGTCCAAAGTATCTTCTGGCAGGACGGCATCTTCTTCGCCCCAGGGAGACAGCTGTCTGTTTCAGGGTGAGAAGTCCTCAGAGAGTGTGGTGACTTCTATCTTGTCTATAGAACTAACGTTCAGAGTCCCTTCCCTATTAGACGACTTTCTTCCCTGGAGGATGTTGTCACAGTTCCAGTATTATCATCACCTAAACCCCCAAGTTCATAGCCCTTCATAAGATGCTGTCCTCCTTTTCAAGGTGTTACACGCAATTACATGGGATGCTCCTGGAAGGGGAGAGCTAAGAAATGCATGGTGTGGAGATGAAATAGCACCATTTTCTATTCTTTGATAACTGCTAATTTAAAACAGGATTCTTCAACGTGTCCTAAACATTTCATCTCTATAACTAGCTCACTGAAGCTAAGGCCAAACACTGTAATGTGCAGCAGTGACAAATTCAGCAAATGAAAAAAACAACACCCTGTGAGTTAGGTGCCCAAAAGCATGAAAAACTATGACCTATGGTTCCATGAACAACTGGAAAGATACCTTGTCCACAGTTACATTTAATAAATCTTCAAAAGTTTTAAAAGAAGAAGACAGATGGAACCGAAAGAGAAGAGATAATAATCAGTGTTTGAAGGAAAAGGTTGATTAGTCTTTCATTGATCCCACTTCTATTTCACTCCCCCCCACCAAAGATAATAGATGGGTACTCAGTTTTCTTTACACTAGTCTGACTACTCCTTGCATATACTTTAAAGTCCTCTGGGGGGATTTTTTTTTTTAGTTTATTGTTTCTAATTTTTTTTAATTTAATCTTTATTATATTTGAGGGGAGTTTTCATCTTACCAATTGCAAGTTTTATAAGAAGGAACTGCATTCTTTTGTATCTCCCTTTCCAGCACCTGGAATTCTAAGCAGTAAATAGCCAGAAAATCCTGACCTTTTTCTCCTCCTACCCCAGAACCCAGAGGGAGCAGCTGCCAAGTGGAGGAGCTCCCTGGGCTCTTCCCAGAGGATGTGGGAAGCATCAGGGGTACGCTAATGCCAGGTAAGGAAAGGGTTCTCCCTATCTCAGAAAAATTACCTTGCCATTCCAGAATATTTTTACTCTTAAAAGATGCCTGTCTCCCTGATTTCTAGCCTAGATCTCAAATACCCTATTGTAAAGACATGTGTCCCTTCAAGAGGCTTTCTGGAAACCAGTTACTGAATTACCTAAGGCATGGGCTATAAAATCATAAAAGGGTGTGAAGAATGAAAAGGAGACAGCGCTCAACATTGGAGAAGATGACCTGTGAGCATTTCTCGGGGCTGAATTTACTGCAGTCACCTGTATTCATGGGACCCATGGAGGAAGGAAGAAAGGCGGGGCATGTGTGTTAAGTACCATAGGCACATGCTGAGGAATAAACAAACTGAAAAGAAAAAAAAGCACAGCAGTGGAGTTTAACAAGTCAGTAAAGTAGTTTAGCCATTCAGAGTAAGAACCAGCTTCCTTTATTCTCTCTGGCTTTTCTCTCTCCAGAAGCCCAGGCAGAAGCCAACAGATCCACCTTCATCCAGAACCTGACTGTGGCTACCTTGCAGTGCCTTGGCTCTGGGAGGAGAGTGAGACTCAACCTTGTACATTCAGAGAAAAGGCCAAAGGTCAAGCACACTCTAAAGAACCTGAGAGTCATCGCTGCTCCCCACAGGAACAGCACTGCCTTCCCCAGCTGTCAGCTAACCCTCACCTCCAAGTCTCAGGCCGGATCCCTTCTAACGGGCAAAGGTGAGACTGGAAAATGAGCCAGAGGTACTCGTGATTTCTGCCTCAGAGCGCTGAATTCAGGTAGAGCTTAGGAGCAGCTAACGCCTGAAGGAAATGGATTAGCCGTTGGGGCAAATCTGTGTCCTCTCTGAGACTCAGTTTTCTAACCTCTTAGGGCTCTTCTAGTCCCGACATGCTCCAGTTTTTTTACAAGATTTTATTTATTTATCTTTAGAGGGGAAGGGAAGGAGAGGGGGAGAGAAATATCAATGTGTGGTTGCCTCTCGTGTATCCCCTGCCAGGAACTGGCCTGCAACCTAGGCATGTGCCCTGACTGGGAATTGAACCACGATCCTTTGGTTCGCAGGCCCCCACTCAATCCACTGAGCTCCACCAGCCAGGGCTGCAATTTTTATATAATCTCTACTTTCCTATGCGTCTTCCTTTGACAATGGTTGTTTGAATTTGATATACTTTGAATGCACATAGTAAAATATTCAAACCACACACTTATAGTTAAAAGTAAATCTCCCTTGTACTCCCACTCTCTCATCCTCCATTTCTCTATCCCTGAGGGAACCACTATTAACCACTTACTGAATTTCCTTCCAGAGATACTCTAACCGTATATGGATATATATATTTTTTAAAAACATAAATGGTAGCATATCATAAACGCTAGTCAATACCTTGCCTTTTTCCATGTCGATCTGTATAAATTTTTCTCATTCCTGGTAACAGTTGTATAGTATTACATTTTATAGCTGTACTATCACCAGTTCCCTATTGATGGATAATTTGGGTGTCTCCAGTCTTGGGTGAATACAAACAATGCTTCAAGCAATGATCTTACACATTCATCTTTGTGTACCTGCACTTTATCAATAGAATAAATTCCAAGAAGTAGGAGTGCTGCATCGAAAAGTTTGATAGATACTGCGAAATTAACCCCCCAGGGCAGTTCCGTTTTGCACCCCCGCCCACACTGAGGATGCCTGTTCCCCCACAGCTGCTGAGTGAAGGCTCTTGACCTCAAGCCTTAAGTTTCCCCGCTTCTGCCCTGCTTTCTTTCTCCCACCCATTCTTTCTGTCCAGCAGTTTGTGATCAGTAAATTGGTACTGGCAGTTCCCCCTTACATACAAGCAATTCCCTAGATGCAACTGCTGCACTGCTGGAAAAATAAAACTTGACACTTATAGAGAAATTGGGGGTTCACAAATAGAATAATGAGAAAAAAACTCTTAAAATTACAATCTGTTTAGAGACTGGGAAATAAGTGGATAGGTTCTTGGGATGTGGCCCAAGTAGAGTAAATTATGTATCCTCACATGACAATGATGTTTTCTCTCCATTATTATATTTTCTAAAAGTTCTCGTAGTGGCCATCTTTGTGTGAAACAAACTCTTAAAAACTTAAAAGCCCCTGACAGTATTTGAGGGCTTTCACTCACTCGATGTTAATGTAAATTCGTTCAACCAGATTGTTCTCCTCCTAACCTGAGACACCCCCTGGAATCAATGGCAGGTGTGCTGGGTAACAGTGAACTTGGTCATTTGGGAATGTAGAGCAGTTTGTACAGGGTGAGTCTTTCTTGGATGTAGTGCTATGCAGTGTTCGGCTCAGCAGTTAAGGACACCAGCTCTTAGAGATTTCGGACGAGGGAAACTGGGAAATTAAGTAGTAGGAGACATGCCAAAGATCAATCAGACCTCATTCAACTTGCTTTGGGCTAGCCTAGAACACAGGGAAGGAGGAAGGGTTTAAGCCAGTGATATTTTCAACCAGTGTGCCAGAAGAATTTTTAAAGCATGCAATACCTGATTATTTAGTCTGGGGCACTGACTCCTTTTCCCTTGGATTGTCAGATAAAAAAATGATAACAATCAACATAGCAACAGCAGTCTGCTGTAAATGAATCCCCATCGTATCTATTTTTTGTCACATCAACAAAAACTGTATTTACTGGTATGCTACAAATTTTAGGAATTAGTTTATGTGTGCCATGAGATGAAAAAGGTGAAAATTGCTGGTTTAAGCTAATACCCTGACAGGCATGTCCAACCCTTTGGCATCACTGGGCCACACTGGAAGAAGAGCTGTCTTGGCCACACATTAACCACACGAACACTAATGAAAACTGATGAGCAAAAAAAAAGCTTTTAAGTAAATTTATGATTTTGTGTTGGGCCGCATTCATAGCCATCTTGGGCTGCATGCGACCTGCAGGCTGGGGGTTGGACACCCCTGCATTTGAGCTATGCAAGGAGATTAAATGGATGTAGCATTAGTTTGGGGACCTAATCATCAGTCAGGATACATTTCTATGGAACAATGATAAATTGCAAACAACCAATTTATGAATGGACTTTTGAAATATCGCCCCATTTAGAAGTTTGAAACTGCCTATCCTGAATTTAAACTTACACTGAGTACCAAGACATGCCAGACTCCGCATAGGGTAGAAATAAACATTAGGCCAATGGTCAAATGTGTAAGGTCCTAAAAGAGATGACCTCTATAGGTGACATCAGTGCACAGGAGGTTGCCCTGGAGACAGAAGACAGTTCATGGAAATGTTCCCAGGGCAATGTAGGAATTTGAAATCGTAGGGACGAAAATGTGCTACAACACAGCGGTCATCAGAAGATGGGGGTCAACACATAACGCAGGAACATGTAGGATGGAGACTGTTTGTTACTGTTTATGGGGTTCAGCCAAGAAAAAGATCCTCTCTCATAAATATTCTGATATTTCCTCCTGGTGAAAGAGGACTTACACATCTTCCTACGGTCTCTTTATCCCATGTGAAACTGTGGGAATAGGAGAAATACTGAATATATGTGCATTCTGATAGTTATGGTCACCTTTAGCAAGTTACCTAATTTCTCCAGTGCTCAGTTTCCATAACAACAAATGAGGGATTTGACTTGATGGTCTAATTTCTACATACGTAAAGTGCAAGTCTAGATCTGAAGCGCAAACCCAATAGCAATATACGAGGCTTCTCAAATCGCTCTTTCAACCTTCTAATATTAATACAGAATAATCTCTAAAAGAGACTTCCATGTAAATGCACCCTATTTAAATTATTTTGCAATAAAGCAAAGCATCATCTGGTAAATTATCCATTTCATAAATTTGGATTTTTGTATATCTTCTCAAAGTGGGGCATTCTTGCTCAAATATTCTTAGAGAAAAGCTAGTATTGCAATTCCATCATCACTGGGAGTGGAGAGCTGTACTCAGAGATGTGTTCCACCGTAACACTCATTTACTGAGCAGATGGGATCTAAAGGAGATGGACTGCCAACATGGTCTGATGCTAATTCAGAAACTATGCAGAAATGAAAATACATTGACAGAGAAAGCCTATTAAAGTAGACTTTGAAACAGGAGACCCCGAAGTAAAGACATGTCATTGGGAAACAGCGTTATCCCTGTCGAGGGCTCGGTTCTACTCAGAGGATCTCTAGGTTTTTCCTCCTCTTCCAGTCATATCACTTGGTCTGCACCCCTGCTTTCTCATTTTTGTTTGTTTCTCGTCTTCACATCACCCCTGTGAAATGGACAGGCCAAGAATTATTTTACTGCAGCCATCTTACTGACAAGGAGACCAGAACTTGGAGGACTGATGAGACTTGCCCCACGTGAGATTTGCTTATCTTCATCTTATCTGTCTTGCACTTAAGTTGCTACTTTGGTGAACTGACTGGCGCTGTGCTGAAAACACGTCACATAATTTCCTTGTTGTTGTTTTTCCTCTGAACCTGTGGTGCTCTGTCTCTGCCTATCTTTGCCGACACAGTCTTCCTGATTAAACTGAAATCGAGAATGACTTCTCACCCTGTCATTTCATGTCTAGCGCCTGGTGCTGTGGTCATTGGCCTCTGAAGTGCAGAACTATCATTTTCACATGGACTTAATCAAGACATGGGAGAGTAATTTAGAAATGTCAAGTAGGACTCAGAGACCTTAATTTAATAAACAAGAGACCATTAAAAATGGAATAGGAACCACTGTCTGAACTGGATTCGGTCTATTCTAGAGGCATGCAGTGTTAGTTCCAGCCTACTGCTGGAATCTGCCTGCGCCTCATCACTGCCACAGCTGGTCTGAGTCACCACCCTCTATCACTTGGATTTCAGCAATAGCCTCCTAACAGGTGACTCTGCTTCTGCCCTTGTCCCTCTACACTGTAGGGACTACGGTCTATTTCAGTGACCATTTAAAAACAAAGAGATTCATCCTCAAAACCTTGTAATGGATCCCCATTTCCATCAGAATAAAAACCAAAGTCCTTAAACTAGCTTTCAAGGCCCTCAGCGATGCGGGCCCATTTCCTTTAGGTCCTCGCCTCCTACTCCTGGCCCCTTGCATGCTCCTCGCCAATCCCATTGGCCTCCTTGCTCTTCCTCTGAAACTGTAACCGGCCAGCCAGTCTCTGCCTTGGGGCCTTTACTCTAGCTGTCAGTCTGCCTAGGTCACTACAGCAGGTCCTTGAATGCTCTTTCATTCAACATCATTTGGTTGTAGCGTTGATGAGGAAAAAAATGTATTCCCCCTGGGGCCACCGTGTGGAGTTCTTCCATGTCTGTATGGGTTTTCCTCCGCACTCTCGCTTCCTTGCACATCCTTTCAAAGGTGTGCACATTAGGTGAAGTGCTGTGTCTACATGGCTCTGGTTTCAGCGAGTATGGGTGTGTATGAGTGTGCCCTGCAATGGAAGACCTTCCTGTAGTTGCTGGTGTAGACTCTGGCCACCCAACCCTGAACTGGAATAAGCAGGTTAGAAAAGAATCATCTTTCTCATTTTTATTAAGCTTTATTAAATGTATGCATAGCACACATTTATTTCAATGTTTAATATTAGAAATGTTTGAGGTCTTCAGAAAGTTGATGATTTTTTGTGACCAGAAATATGCTGTAGGAACTTAATTCTTGTTTATATTAAGTAGCCTATGGTAAAACTGGTGTTATTACATGTCATTTTGCCTTAAAATCACAGTTTCCAAGAACCTATTGACATTAGTGAGGACTTACTATACTTTCCCAGGCATCTGCTTTGCTATTCCCCTCACCTCGTCCAAGTCTTGGCTCAATCCTCACCTTCTCAATAAAACCAGCCTATGTTGCATGTTGCCAAAACACTGCCCACCCACACTCCCCAGACTGCTCCCTGACCTTCCTCTACTTTTATTTATTTAATTATTTTTGGGTAGCACTTATTTCCTTCTAACACACCACAAAATTGACTGTACTTATTGTTGTCTGCTATCCCCCGCCTCCTCTTTACTTGTTCCCTTGCTAGCACGCATGCAACTGATGCATCTGGAGTACCGGAGCAGTCCCTGGCACATTACAGATGCTCATTTTTAATTATTTGCTGAACGAATGAAATTGAGAAGTGCATGAAACTGGGTGGTCTTTCCTTCTTCTCCCAGCTGACCCTGCTTTTCTCAGTCCCTTCTCCAAGTCGTTGACTTAGACTCCACCAGACAGACTTGCAGCAGTCATTAAGGCAAATTATTACAGTTCAGGTTCTTCCTTGGACTTTGTAGCCACCTTTTTTTTTGAAGACAGAAACTTTGAACAGAGTTACGCCCTCTATCTTTATTATTATTATGGCATTAAGAATGATAAGTGAACAAGGTATGGCCTCCTCCTCCATCCTGATCCTACATTAGTCAAAGGCCTCATGGGAATTGTAATCCCTATCTCTTACTAGTATCTCTGTCCTCATTTACTCTTGGCATTATTCGATGCTCACACCCTAAACCTATGGACAGACCAACGGGGCTACAATTAGAAGCTTAGTATCACCTGGGTAGACCTAGGGTTTTTTGTCAGGTAAAATCAAGGGCAGAATAAAGTGTTCTCAGTTGACCTTTCATTCTTTCTTTTTTGTTTTATAGCTTTTTTACCAGGAATCTCCCAATGTAAGGTCTATCCAGTGATGAGAGCCTCGTCAGAGACTTTTCCCACCACGACCACCTCCTTAACTGCAGGGAATGAAGGAGAGGAAACTACAAGTATCGATGACTTTTCTAGCTCTTTCACACAAGGTACAGAATAAGTAGGGGTGAGACAAGAACAGGAAGAAAAGCATTTTTAGCCCCAACACTAGTCTGAGTCCCCTAGGATTTTCCTGGAAGTTGTGAAGTTACACAAAGTTTGCATTAGAAAATCCTCTATTTCTCATGGAAAGAAATCAGTTTCTGTATAAAGAAGGTCCCAGAACTGTTTGTAGTTTGACACCGCCGTCAGGTGGTGTGTTAACGACATTTCGGTCAACGATGGGCCTACTGTATGAACAAGAGCTGCCCCACAGGAGTATAATGGGGCTGAGAAATTCCTACCATCACACTGTAACGTCAGAGCGCAATGCATTACTCACACGTTTGTGTGATGCTGGTGCAAACAAACCTACTGCACAGCCAGCTGTATAAAAGTGCAGCGTGTGCAACTATGTACGGTACACACATAATACTTGACAATGATAGTAAATGACTGCTACTGCTGTATGTGTTTACTATACTATACGTTTTACTGCTATTTTAGAGTGTACTCTTCCTACTTATTAACAGTAAAAGTTTGCTATAAAACAGTATGCCATGTTAAACCAGCAGCCATCTCAAACATCCTGTGTTTACTATGTCTTTTGATTGTATCCTTCCCTCTTGTGCTTGCTTTCCTCTCACACTGCTTTACAAACTTTGTGGAGACTGAGTGTACAGTGTTCCCAAAGTGTATGTACAGTAGTGCACAGCACTGTCCAGGCCTTCACACTCACCACTCACTCACTGACTTACCCAGGGCAACTTCCACTCACGGTAAGTGCCCTGTACAGGTGTACTGTGTTTTTTTTCAGGTGTACTATTTTTTATCTTTTACATTGTATTTTTACTGTACCTTTTCTATGTTGAGATGTTTTCATTTTTATTTATTGATCTTAAATATAAATAAACCATATTTATATTTAATTATAAGAAAGGAAAGGAGGAAGAGAGAGAGACATCAAATTGTTGTTTTGCTTATTTATGCATTTATGGGTTGGTTCTTGCGTGTGCCCTGACTAGGGATTGAACCCCCAACCTTGGTGTATCAGGGCAATGCTCTAACCAACTGGGTTACCCAGCCAGGGTCTAGATATGTTTAGACGCACAAATGCCAATGTGTTACAGCTGCCTACAGTATTCAGTACAGTGACATGCTGTACAGGTTTGCAGCCTAAGAACCATATGCTGTACAATACAGCCTAGGTGTCTAGCAGGCTTCAGCATCTAGGTCACAGTCAGTGCACATTATAATTTTCACACTACAGAATTGCCTAATGATGCATGTCTCAGAACGTATCCCTGTGGTTAAGAGACACGTAACTGCATTAATAATGCTTTACCTCCAAACAAGTGAGCTCATCTTGTAGTCAAATGTGGGGACAGAATAAAATGCATTCATGTGGTCGGCGACTCCAGCCATTGCACGTGTAAACAGCACTTACGCACCGATCATTACAGTGCTGACAACGACCAAGGGCAGGTTTCGTCTGCACTACCTTTAGAAACAGCCTTCCCTAAATTGGCCAGGACTCAAATTCTAAGTTCTGGATGTAACTTGCTTTGGGTTACATCCACTCCCTACCAGGGGAAAAATAGATATGCGGTTAGTAATAACAGGATGTGTATAAGCCATTTCCCCCCATATTTGGCTTATGACCCAGAAGCAAGGCCAACACACCTTTGTTCCTCCTATGGCTCCTCCAATGAAACCGCAAGGACCATGGAAGGGTGATTTTCTAGGTAGAGACCCTGACAGGGCTGCTGGCGCAAGATGAGTTTGGAACTCACTGTGCTGCCCTGCCCCTTTCCCTCCCTCAAGAGGAGTGCAAGAATGGGTCCTATTGATCATGGAAAATCCCAAATCGCAGAGAAGGTGACTCACTGGGAAGAGACTGCCAAGGAGATTAGAGCAAGGCCCATGATGCCCACCCCACCCCTGACTCTGAGTCTGAACTGGAAATCCAGCCTCTGAGTCGAGCTGGACCCTTTCAGAGCAGAGGGTGGATCTCTTTCCTCTCTCAAATTCTCTTTCTCCCTTTCCTGCTGCTCTCTCTCCTTTTAGACACAGACAAGGACCTAGAGGAGAGGCGGAAATGGAGCGCTGTGGTCAAATTTCTGATTGCTGTCACTCTGTTGCTCAGTGCAATTGCCATTACAGTGTTTGTCATTTTTGAAGTCCCTTGTCCTGTAAGTTTGCTGCTGTATATAAATCTATATAAATCTGATCTATATAAATCTCCTTTTCCAGAGGTGGGTTGGCATAGTAACAAAAGCATACACTTCGGAGTTTGGACAGACCTGCAACTCACACTCACTAGCTGAGTGGCTTTGAGAAAGTTGCTTGACTTGTCCAACCTCAGTTACCTCATCTTTAAAATGGGACAGTGATAGCTGCCTCTTATGGTGGTTATGAAGGCTAATGGAGATCCTGTGTGACAGGTGCCTGGCACACAGGAGGTCCTTGCTGAATGCAAGTTCCTCTGCTGTACTTGTACATTGCTGGGGAGGATAGAGCCAATAGGACAGAATATTTTCTTCAGAAGACATGGTTTTCTTTGAATGGCTTGACATGAAGTTTGGAAGGCAACCAAATGCATACCCGCCCCCTGAGGTTAACACCAGTCATTTTCTCCCTTCAGAGACAATGCCTGAGAGCCAGAGAGCTGTGCCGATGCCCGCGCTTGTGGATAAAGCGAAGGGAGGGAGGCCAGCAACCTGAGGCAGCGGGATCCCAGCCTGCCTCTCAGCCGGAGAAGGAAAGTGTTCTCTGTGTGGTCTGTGTCATTTGCTTGGAGAAAATGGGGCGGACATACAAGTGCTGGGGGTCAGGGAGCTGATTCAGTTATGAAGCAAATGTGGGTAATTCTTTTATGTGTCAGGAAATAGGTAGGTATTTATTTGTACTGTTGTTTTCTTAACATCAGCCCAGCCATAACACAGGTGGAACTTACTGAAAATACCGATTTCTGGGCCCCAGATATAACGAATCAGAATACCTGGGGCTGGGAATCTTGTTTTTAAGATTTTGAACATACTCCCTAAGTAGAGGTGAATTTACTATTAAATTAATGAAGCTTAAGCTTCAGGATTATGGAACCTTATATTCGATTTTGTATTTTTAAAATTTGTGTTCTTTTTCTTTTAAAAAAAAGCCCCTCTAAAATTGCAAGCACTCCAGAGCCCACACTTAGGTGTCCACCCCTGTCCCTAAGTAACTCTTACACACACCGAAGTCTAGGAGCCACCGCACTTGAACTCAGTCTGATACTTGGCAAAACAGCATCTTTCCTCCCTACCCTTGGGTTTTCTGATGAGATTCTAAATCCATACTGCCCTTTGGTGTCTCAGACACTACCCCACTGGTTCAGTACAGCTGCCTTACATCAAGTTTCCCCAGGAGGAGTGGACTCAGCCTTCGAATACCAGAAATTGACGGCTGCCTTCTCTACTGCATCTATAAAACCCACTAAGGCAAAGAGACAAGGTCTCCAATGCTTTTTAAATTAGAGAAGGAGCCCACTTTTGTAGAATTGCAGCACTGAGAAGGGGTCTCAAAGATTAGAGTGTCTAGGATGGTACACATGCTGCCACCCTTTAATTCTTTTTTTTTAAAGATTTTATTTATTTTTCAGAGAGAGGGGAAGGGAGGGAGAGAAACATCAATGTGTGGCTGCCTCTCCCACGCCCCCTACTGGGGACCTGGCCTGCAGCCCAGGCACATGTCCTGACTGGGAATTGAACCAGCAACCTTTTGGTTCGCAGCCTGGACTTAATCCACTGAGCTACACCAGCCAGGGCTGCCACCCTTTAATTCTGTGTCAGCTGCATATGACAATAATCAAGCACAGTACAACTAGAAGATGAGTAAGTTCTGGAGATCTAATGCATAGCATAATGGCCAAGTCAATAATACTTTACTATATACAGATCTGAAATGTTCTCACCCCAAAAAGAGAAATGATAATTAAGTGCCATGATAGAGATGTTAGCTAAGGCTATAATAATAATCATGTTACAATATATAAAGTTTGAAATCAACATGTTGCACACTTTGAACTTACACAATGTTATATGCCAATTATATCTCAATTTTTAAAAAGACTTTTGTGGATGAATGAGGCGATAAATCCAGTTTTTTATTTATAAAAAATCCTGCAATATTTATTTATTTATTTATTTATTTATTTATAGAGAGGGGAAAGAAGGGAGAGAAACATCAATGTGTGGTTGCCCCTCATGCAACCCCCACTAGGGAAATGGCCAGCAACCCAGTCATGTGCCCTGACTGGGAATCGAACCAGCAACCTTGTGATTCGCAGCCTGGACTTAATCCACTGAGCTACACCAGCCAGGGGTGTAGCTCAATTTTTTAAAAAATCAAGCACAGCCCTGGCTGGTGTAGCTCAGTGGATTGAGCACGGGCCTGTGAACCAAAGGATTGTGGTTCGATTCCCAGTCAGGGCACATGCCTGGGTTGCAGGCCAGTTCCCAGCAGGGGATGCACGAGAGGCAACCATACATTGATATTTCTCTCCTTCTCTCCTTCCCTTCCCCTCTAAAAATAAATAAATAAAATCTTAAAAAAAAAAATCAAGCACAGCACTCTTCCCAGCCAGGAATGACATCAGAATCTTTTTTACCATAAAGCCTCAGGTACCCAATGCCAACTTATTTGCATCTCTGGTCTAGGACAATATTTCTCATAGTCCCATTTTTTTTAATATTGAATGATGTGCTCATGTACATTAGTATGATTTTATCATGTGGTGTATTTTTAGTTCTTTACTCCAATCTACATTATGATTTCTATTGATCATTGGAAGAATAGGCCTGAAGGGGACCATAAAGTTTAGTTCAGAATTAGAGGTAACCATGAAGCAGCAACTCTGAATTTTTCCCATGAACAAAATAAGCTGCTAACCAATAAGGAAATTAATAGAAATAGCAATTATAAGCCATTTTATACATATTACCTTGTTTGAGACTCATAAAAAATCCTGTGAGGTAGCTAGGACAGGTATCCACATTTTATTGATACTTAGACTAAGACTCAGAGAAGTTATGTGACTTTCCCAAGTCACACAGCTGGTAGAAACAGAACTAAAGTCCAGGTATTTGAATTCCTATACTGAATTTTTAAAAAGATTTTATTTATTTATTTCTAGAGAGAGGGGAAGGGAGGAAGAGAGGGAGAGAAACAGCAACACGTGGTTGCCTCTTGTGTGCCCCCTACTGGGGACCTGGCCTGCAACCCAAGCATGTGCCCTGACCAGGGATTGAACCAGCAACCTTCTGGTTCACAGTCCGGTGCTCACCTATACTGGATTCACTGGCTCATTCATCCACAAAATTTTACTGAAAGTGACAATTTTACTTCTACGTGCCAAGTTTCCTGCCTTGCAGAGGCTTACAGTCTATATTCATAACAGGTTAGCATTTCGAAAGTATATACAAAATCAGATAGGGCTTGGAGTCAGGTGCAGTGAGAATGGAATGGAATTAGTAAAAAATATTTGGTCCACTGGGACCCAGATCTCTACTGCTTTTCCAACAGAGTGAGATTGTTTGGTCCTGACTCAAGGAATGAAGTAGAATCCCTGTGCTTCTGAGATACAAAGTAGCTGCAGACTCAGGGCCTTTTCCATTCAAGGCAAAGAGGTCAAGCACAGGGTAGATGGCTTCTTTGCTGGTAGGTCCAACAAACTGTAGGTTTCATACTAAGTGCACCTTGCTGATACTTTCTCAGTATAAGCATAACAACCTTCCTTGGAATCATTGGGTAGCAAAGAGGCAAAATGATGTGTACTTGGAATTATGTAGGGTTTTGTACTTAGCTATCCGCTTGTTGGTACATAAAGAAATACCCATTTGCATCCTTCTTTATCTTTCCTTTTTCCTTTCAATCTCTAGGATGGACAAAATGCTCCCAACTCAAGCTCAGAGAAAGCCACAGAGGTCACTGTCATCTACCAGACATACTTCTGAAAAGTTCTGCTCTGCCTCACACTCTACATTCTCCCTAGTATTAATCAAGATAGGCAGATTGTTGCCAATTCTACACTCTTATCTTCAGCAGGAACATTACAATAAAAAAAGTACTGCCAGGTCCATGAAGGGGGAGCGCGGGCTTAGCAATCAATTACCTTCATGCCACTGCTACTGACTGAGTCACAAGCCTCTGGGATTTACTCTGCACTTCCACAATAAATGGGTATCTTCTCATCCCCTCCAATGAAAACAGCAAGTCTCCCCTCTAAGCACTGTGAATGGGCCTATTGCTTCTTTTGACAAAAGGTTTAAACACAGCCTCCAACGAACAGGGAAAAGCAGCCACAAGTGTGGCTCAGTTCACCAGCTGCTGTGTTATCTTCCCTGCTGACTCCATGCTCACTGGCTCTCAACTTGGCTTCGGGTGGTGTTCCGGTTTTCTCAAGGCTCACAGTCAGTCGTAAGGTTTTATGATTTAGCCTCTGCTAAATCACAGGTAGCTAGCAACACACTGGTGAAAGGAATGTGAATTTAAGCATTCTGAATGTCCTCCTCAGAAACCTCTAAAGGGCTGAGAGACTGCATACTAATAGGACCCAGATGAGGTCTCCTGATGACCCGGAGTTCCTAAAGTGGGTCTGACGCATCCTACCATAACAGTGAGCCGTGTGCACTTTGAAGAGGACGCCAGAGCAAAATGATTATGACGATCTTTCTCTTGGAGGCACAGGTGTGAGTAAAGTCTGACCTGCTTAAGTAAGAGTTTAGCAAAAAAAGAAAAAGTATAAAGAGCTGATGCTAAAGCAGGATTTAGGTTAAAGAGAGAGAGAGAGAGAGAGAGAGAGAGAGAGAGAGAGAATGGTGAGAGGGACAAAACTAGTCCTGCCTCTTTTCCTAAGAGGCTAAAACCATTCCATTTTGTTTTGGTGAAATGCGCCTGTTTCTAAGTAATTGTTTTCTTAGTTCACTGGCAAAAACCACACACAACTTGTAGCCTTTCACTCACTTCAAGTATTTGCAAAAAATAAAAACAGTGGTTCTCAAATCTGTACCAACAGAAGAATATATCTCGCCATAAGCCCTGAATTTACATGCAAGCCAAGCCTGGAAGAGATGGAACAGACACAAAACGTGGATGATGGTAGTTTTCACGGAAGCCCTAGAAATCCTCTAGGCAGCCTAAAGTTCCATAGACTTGGAAATGCAGCAGGTAAAAACAGAGCACTGGGGCTCGCGTTTGGATAAACGAGTGTGTTATTTGCACCCTCCCACTGATTCCCATGACCTCCAGTTCAGCCTGCCACCTGTGGTTCAGTCCGATCATGAAGCAGAAAAAAGAGAAGACAGTTTTTTGCTGCCCGAATCATGAGGGAGGATGATTAAAAGCATCCTATATTCAGAAGCTCGTGGTCTAGAACTGCTGTCTATACTCATCTACACCTTTCCCAGCTTCCTCCACCTCAGAATGTCCTTCCGTCCAGAAACAAGAGATTTCTCAGGAGACGAAATCTGGAGCAAAGTCAACATTTGTTAAGTCTTCTGCAAAGAGTTTATTTTGTATAACATTTATAGTGACTTTCTTTACAGAAACTCACTGATGGGATCACAATTATTTATTTTGTTTGGGGGACAACTTGTTTCCCCTGACAAGGCAAGGAGCCGCCGAGGATTCTCTGACTCCCTAACCAGTTAACCACTTTGAATCCCGTATTCTCTTAACAGTGAAGATCTTTGAAAACCAAGAGATGAATGGGACCCAGAGCCCAGAGCAGAAGGGAAGGGAAAACACCCTTATGGACTTTGGGCTGGGCACTGCTGTCTGCAGATCACTTCGTGGCAGGACACAATCCTCCCTGTCACCACTAGAGAGTAAGTTATAGTCTAGTCTGAACTTGACAAAACACTGTTTCCATGGAATGTCAACTATTCCTCTCAGAAGTGACTAGTTAGCAAGGTTTTCATTGCAAATTCTTTCTCATTAAAAGTTGCCACCCTTTGGTTTTCAATTATTAAAATACATTCTCATTATAACAATTTTTAGAAAATACTGAAAAACATAAAGAATAAAAGAAAAAATATTATACCTAATCCTTCCTCCCAGGGGTAATCATGAACACTTTGATTTATAACTCTTTGATTTATATATCCTTATATAACTCTTTGATATACATATCATTAGATGTAAAAAGACACATATGTCACAAATAACATCATATTCTTCATACCATTTTAAAGCTTTCTCCCCTTTTTTTGGCTAATATATTAGTACTACATGCCCAGGTACCACAAGTATTGTGTTTTTTTCAAGTCTTAGAGAAGACTGAAAGTCACTCTACCTTTTCTAAGGGTCTAAATCACCCCAATACTTTTTAATAGATCCAAAGATTAAGGTAAGAAGTTGGCTAGGGCAGAGAAGCCACACTGGCAGAAAATTCCAATTTAAACATTTGAAGGTATTGCTGAATGATATTAATAGTTGTATGTGTGTATGTGTTAAAGCGTGACTTGTTCAATGTAAATACTTAAAATATACAACAATTTTATATCTGCTTTGCCAGTTCTTCATTTTTTAGACAGACCTGTGTTCTCAAAAAGTCAACATGACCAGGACTCTCTGGACCTCTTGAGCAGGCCATTAGCATCCCTCCTTTTCTATACAGCCAGGCTAGTGCAAGAGGCCACTAACCACAGGGGGACTTAAAGGTGGCTCTAGCCCCAACTGTTCTTCCCCTCCTCCCTTATGACTAGGGGCTGGAACTGCTCCCCACTTTTTGCCCTGCACAGGTTGACAGTCTTATGGCCCCTCCTCCCCACACACTTCGATCCTCCTGCCTCCACACCCCCTGACCCCTGCTCAGGGGATTCCATTCCTGAGTTTATGGAATGGCCCTCATCTTCCTTGAGTTGCCATTTATCTTTTTATGTATACTTCGGAGTAGTTCTTAGTCTTGAAGGCTACAGTGTGTTTTCTACATGTACATCTGTATATCTCTGTATTACTTTGTATCCGACAAAGTACAGAAGACATTAAAAAAATGCGTTGGTAACATCACGCTACTAAATGGATAGCTGAGGATGTAACAACTGACTTTCTAAGAGAAAATGAAGTAACTTGTATTTCTACATCCAAGCTGCTATTGGTTAACCAAATGGACACAAACCAGTGAAGGGCCAGCCTGTAACTGCTGGTAACACCTGAATTCGTCTCTCCAGACTTACATGCTTTTCTCTTATATTTCTCTTCTTGTTCTGTATTTCAACTTCTCTTTTTCTTTTCCTCCTTTTTCTTTCCCTTATTCAGTGCCCTGACTTGCCTGTCACCCAATACTAAAAGTTTCTCTTAACTTTCATTCCGAGAGAACTTAGATCCATGTTTATACTTAAAGTGCAGGTGCAAAAAGCCTTTTTTCTTCTACTCCACCCGCCTCCACATGGTACAGTGTAGCAACAGGTGCATTCGTGTGAATGTGCGCCACCTTGTGGTTGAAGTTGCTAACGTCATCCTCTGAAAAAGCAGTGGGCAAAAATAATGTAAAATAAAACAAATGAGAAGCCTATGTAACTACCCTAAAGAAAAAAAAATCAATCACAATGGCCACATTTTATCCTATTTTAAGTTATCTTATAAAACTTAAAATAGGATGAAGGATATGTTCAGAGGTATAATGTCATAGTCTCCACAAAATAAGATGATGTCCGGAAGACTCTCTTAGGATTTATTCAGGTCACTACGGCTCCCTACTGCCCTAAAAAAGAAGAACAGACAGTGTAGACTATAGGGTAAAGTCCTAATTGCTCTCTAGAAGAATCAAACATCCAACTGAAGACACACTGACTTTGAAGACATAAGCTAGACACACAATATTAGATAGCAGTTTAATTTATTTACTCCATCATAAATTTGCTTGGACATATCTATGTCTACGACCTATGCGAAGGAGTAGAATTCATTGTTCAACTTTGTCAGATCACATATGGTTCTTCAAAGAGACTGTAGTAGATACATTTGCCAGCAATAAAGAGAGTCTATTGTTCCACACGCTCCCTAACTTGGAAATCTCACACTAAAATTTTTGCCAATCTGATGGCTATGTCACTGTTGCTCTTATGTGTATTTTCCTGCTTAACAGTGAAGTTGAACATCTTTCCACATATGTATTTGCTTCAGGTAGTCTCTTGCTTATAACGTCTCTCTTCTTTTAAATTGGGTTGTTAGTCTTTTTAATTGAGTTGTACAGTCTTATATTCCTGGCCATACAGTTTTCCCTCTGTATCTGTGGGTCCTGAATCCACAGATTCAAGCAACTGTGTATAGAAAAAAAATTTTTTTAAGATTTTATTTATTTATCTTTAGAGGGGAAGGGAAGGAGAGAGGGAGAGAAATATCAATGTATGGTTGCCTCTCGTGGGTCCTCTGCTGGAAATTGGCCTGCACCCCAGGCATGTGCCCTGACTGGGAATCGAACCGCGTTCCCTTGGTTCACAGGCCCTCGCTCAATCCACTGAGCCACACCAGCCGGGGCTGTGTAGAACATTTTTTAAAAAAAATATTACATTGTTGTTGATGTGTACAATGTAGTTAGGCCTACAATGGTTACATCTGTAGTGAAAATGTACAGACTCTTTTTCTTGTCGTTATTCCATAAACAATACAGTATAAACAACTATTTACATGGTACTGCATTGTATTAGGTATCACAAGAAATCCAGAAGTGACCTAAAGTATAAGGGAGTTATCTGCATAAGTTATATGCAAATAGTACACCATTTTGTACAAGTGACTTGAGCCTCTTTGAATTTTAGTATCTAAGGGGTGTTCTGAACAAATCCCCTAGGATACCAAGAGACAACTGCATTATTATCTACAGTTAGAGATAAAAGTCTTAAAATTAATCCACCATGAAGAATGAACAGGTTAGACTGATAGCATTTCATTGAAAGTATCGATATAGGAATCAGCTTATTTCCTTCCTAGTTAGGAAGGAGGGAACTGGAAGGGTAAGTGCTAATACACAGCAGAGAGGAGGCCAGATGGACTTCCCTAATGTGATGTTGCTCAAATTTATCTTCCCTGTGCTTACACAAATAAAAAATGTTGGGCAAAGGTACTTTATGGTTTACCTTGGAAAGCTCAGTGATTTCCAGCGGAAAACACGCAATGTAGAGAGTGCTGCATGTTGCAATTCGACACTATGGAGTCACTAAAGAATGCCTAGAAAAACAATCATTCTGAAATTGAACCTGTGCATACTTAGCTGGTTTAATTTCAGAATAAGCCAATGACAGATATTGGTAGTTTGGATATTAGCTGTTTTTTTCTCTTCCTGCTGTTAAGAACTGAATATGGTTGGAACATGCTGACAACCTGTTATTCTGTCATGTATATGTTGGTGAAGCAGAGTCCTTCAAAATGGGAGCCTTTGAGGTCCTTTTAAGAAATATGTTCTGGTTTGTGGGGATTTTAGACATAAGTGTAATAGCTTTTTAAATGCAGCCATAGAAGGCAATATGAAAATAGATTCTTGGAGGCAGTGGGAGTCCCAGAGTTTCAGAGCCTGACAGTTGCTTATTTATGGGTAAAATCTGCATGTGGAAGAATATTATACTAGAAATACACTGTAGACTACACTATGTTCCACAGAGGACTAGCAATCAGGAATAGAGCAGTCCCTATATCCACGGAGGAGGTGCTCTAAGACCCCCCATGGACATCTGAAATCACAGAGTACCGAAACCAGTATATACACTATGCTCTTTTGTACACATACATACCTATGATAAAGTTTAATTTATAAATTAGGAATACTAAGAGATTAACAATAACTAATAATAAAATAGAACAATTACAAAATAGAGTGTAATACAGGCTATGTAAATGTGATACCCCTCCCCCCTCCCCTCCCCCACCTGGGACATGCTGGATGAAGGGATGATTGATGTCCCAGGAGGGACAGCATGAAGTGGGGTGAGATTTTACATGGCACGCAGTTTAAAACTTGTGAATTGTTTATTTCTGGAATTTTCCATTTAATATATAGGACCATGATTGATCAACGATAACTGAAATCATGGAAAGCAAAACTGAGAATAATGGGGAACTACTGTACCTAATCTTTATTTCTCAGGAGCCATTTGATTTCCTAAAAAAAAAAAACCCGACACATTTCCACTGGAATCCACCACCTTCTGAGGTTGTATAAAGCGTGGTTAGATGCTGGGGATGGAAGTTTGAATCTCTACTGTGCTGCCTGCTTACACTCTCTGGCCATTAGTTTCTGCATCAGCAAAATGGGAGTAACAACACCTCCCTAAAAAGGTTTTTAAGGACTAAAATGAGAATATACATATACAGAGCCTTGAACAGTAGCTATTTTTAGTACCAAGTAGGGAGGAAAAACCTGCTGTATCATTTGAAGAGTGTCAACCCTAAGAGAAAATACATCTGCCAAGGACTCCTTGTGATTTACTGGACCCAAATTCATAACCAGAGTGTCACATACATTGTTACAGAAGCCTCTCATGCGTTCTGCACGCCAAAGCCGCAGATGAGCTGCAGAGCATCCTGCACTGTGCTCCTGCCAGAGCCAACCTTTATAAAGAACTCCTGGTATGGTATTTTCACTAATGGCACTAACACTTTTCCCATCCAATCGGAGTTGTGCAGGTATATCCTCATTTGCACATTTACTGAGATATCAGAGCAGCTCCACAATAACTAATCAGACCATGTGAGCTGGCCAAAAAGAATAATGCAGTTTGGACCAATCAAACTGTGTCAATTTGGAGTCCTCATTTGCATAGAAATAGACTAATCAGCAATGGGGGCAGGAACTTCTTTCTTTCTCCGTAGGCCAGCCTCCCCTGTCTCCACAGAGTGTACTTTCTGCTACATTTCTCCAGCTTGAGGGCTGTTAACACTTGAGCTGCAACACTAAAAGCTGTGTAGCAAGGGCTCCTCTGCTTGCGCTGCTTTACTTGAGCTGTTTCAATGAAGCCATTTCACTCCAAGATTCTCCATTCACCACACCTCAGGTTAACTCCAGGTGGCACTGAATTGGTAACAGTGAATTTTGGTTGACAAGAGTGTGTCCAGCCCTTGCTGGTGTGGCTCACTGGGCTGAGCACCAGCCTCTGAACTGAAAGGTCACTGGTTGGATTCCCAGTCAGGGCACATGCCTGGGTTGTGAGCCTGGTCCCAGGCGGGGGCGTATAAGAGGCAACCAATGTTTCTCCCCCTCTCTTTTCCCTCCTTTCCCCCTCTCTAGAAATGAATAAATTAAATCTTTTTTAAAAATTATGCTTAAAAAATTGTGTCTGTGAGTGCACAAATGAAGGCTTTCAGAGAAAACTGTTGTTCTTGGCATAATTATAAATTTGAGAAAATTAATAAAGTGAGTGGACAAACACTAAAAAATGTGTTTGGTTGTGTACAAATAACCAATTACAGTCATCTATGTAAACAGCTTAGCACTTAAGGTCTAATTATTATACAGTACAA